TGCTATAGTCAAGTAAAATTTTCAAATAACTTTCAATGCAAATGGATCAATGCTTATATAACTTAAAGTAGATCCAAGAGTCCAACAAAAGATAATTATTATGATATCTGAATAGCTTAGGGGGCAATGCAACTATAAACGGTAATTTTACAAATCTGGGGGAGGAGGGAGGGCAAATATAATATAATTTAAAATCTTCACAATTTTCCTAAGTCTGTCGTGATTTTTACCAAAGTTAAGGGGTGTAATTACCCACCTTCAACTATATATGGCTCCGTTGGGTGTGAATGCCTGGACTAGCAGAACAAATATTATCCCTCTGGATTACCTATTTACCTTTATCTAAAATTTTTTAAACTCATAAATTCATCCAATTGTGTCATTATTTTTCTCTTGATCTCTAGATTAACACACTAAAAATGGTATTCTTTTTGTGAATACCTTGGCATTCAATTTTCTCGAAACATTTGAAGAATGAAAAATGAATCAAAATTGTAATAAAATTTGTAAGTATCAATCAGAGGGTGAAACTTAGTCAATTTCACACGAAATTTATATATAACTAATATAACTTATAAAATAAACTATGAATGGTGTTGATTTTTGAAATAATTTTTATATTAATATTATTGGAGTATAATGAAGAGAAATTCTCTCCAACACTAAGAGCACATGTTAATTCCATCAAGGCTATTTAGTTTTTATTATTTTTTGAGCCAACACTATTTAATCTTATTCTTAGTAGAGCATTACATATATTTGTTAATGACACACACTTGAGTAGATTCTGTTTACGTAGATTTAGTAGTTCAAAATTTGTCACGCCATCTCATTAATTCAAGTATTGAAGATGTGGCAAAATTTGGACTACCAGATCTACAAGTTTGTGTCTATCCAAAATTTTGCCTTTATCAAGTGGTTATGTACTCCTTTTTTTTTCTTTTGAAAAAAGAGGGGCGTCAGTCCCTTATTTTATTAACCCACAGGTAAAAAGTACACCGAGCTCATGAAATGCCAAAAACCTCAAAGTCGGAGAAAGGAAAAAATCTAACTATACGAGAAAGGAAAAAAATCTAGCTATATGCTTTTAAAAGCCCTAATGTGCGGAAACGAACGGAGGTCCGTTCCAAAAGCAGCGCGAACACTTCACGGGAGATCTCTCAAAGAATAAAAAAACGCATCCCCTCAAAACCTCAAAGAAGCAAGAGCATCAGCTACTGTATTCGCTTCCCTAAATACATGGGAAAGATCAACCTGTAAATCGCCAAGGATCTGCTTTATGCTTCTCAATGTATTAGACAGGGACCACTTTACGACCCATCTCCACGAAAACTGAAGAGTCAGTTTCTGCAAGAAAAGAGCGATAACCCTGATTCCATTCTCACTTGCATTATATGCTTATATCAAGTGGCTATCTATTCTTGAATTTTGTGAGGCTACATAATTTGTGCAAAACAAACATGGGGTTGGTTTGGAAATTTTTTTTTTCAAATATTATTCTACTTATATATTATAAATATAATTTTCAATCACTTTTTATCCCATATATATCATATCACGAAAAATACTACAATGTTTAGTTAAATAATTTTTACAAATAATCTCCTATCCAAATGCACCCATAGATAAGCACATCCTCAAACCTTTTTTGTATGCGTATTATGTTCTCTTTTAAATCTTACTTTGTTCTATTTTTTTTTCTTTTTTTTTTTTACGTCTTTTTTTTTTCTTCAGGCTTTTTACTTGTGACTGTTAATATGAACTTAATACTTGTTTTGTACAAAGGGAACGCTATTGAAAGAGTATCCATCCGCAATACAGAGAGATGCCATGATGGATTAATTGGGATGCTGAAGTAGTTGATGAACCTCACATTCAGGACAATCCTCCCTCCTGTTTCCTAATTAAAGCTAATGTTATAATGATTGTTGTAATTTGCGGGATTGTTGGGTTTCAATGGAATTTCTTTTGCTTCTTCTCGTGTGGTTTGATTTTTGACGACATTTGTGTCATTTTGCATGTAATATCTTACATCATGCTGCAATTGTTGTTGTAGCATAATAAATTGCCAGATTTTGCTTTTCATCCTCCTGCCATTTCTCAAATTACTGGTCGAGACAAAGATTCTCCTGAATTGTCTTGTCTTGGCCGAATACCTGGGCATCAAGGGTGATGTAAACAAAAAGAAAGAAACATAACTGGCTTGTAAGACAAAATTCCAGCCCTGCTTCAATATAAGGGCAAATTACTTTTTAATTTCCTAGTTTGATGTTTTATCATGGAACTCCTCTATGTTTTAAAAACTTACATATAACATTTTCATGGTTTGAATTAAAGTGTTACCGTTTAGTTTCTCCATTGCAACTAATGGTAAATAGTACATGTCAAAGTCAAACTAATGAATTGATAAATTCATTCTTTCACTGCTTTTTTTTTTCTTTTTCCTTTTCTTTCTCCCTCTCTCTTTTTTGGGGAAGAGAAGAGATGATTTTGAAAACCTATACTTTGGCCTTTAAAATCTCAATTTTCCCCAAATACAATAGAGATGGAAGGAAATAAAAAATAAATAAATAAGAAACAAAAAAGATGAAAGGAAAATATAAACAAATAAATAAGAAACAAAAACTACCAAATCTTTTTTGACTACAAGTATCATTATAAGTTTTTAAACCAAATCTTTAATGGTGTTTTTATTTCTTATTTATCAATTTTTTTATTTCAATTTCTTCTTTTCTATGTTTGGAGCAAAAGAAAAAGAAGCAATAAGACAATAAATTTATCAATTTATTAGTTTGATTTTTGACTTTTTACTATTGATTGTTAGTTTTTAACAAAAAAAATTAATGGTGATACTTTAATTCAAACCATAAAAGGGCATGTATAGGTTTTAAAATCACGGGAGATTATGTGGGTAAAATAGTAAACTACAAGAGGTAAAAGATAATTTATCCTTAATATAATCATTTCTTATGAGGAATGCCCAAATTTTGTACTTAAAAAACACATTGTTCAGCACATGGACTAGATTTTACCACAGCCTACCGCTCCATTTACATTTATGTTGAGAAATGGTATTAGATTGATAGACATAAACTTGACAACTCATCTGAAGCTTTTGGGTTTAAGGGCCTCAAAAGATCAACTCTTACATAGTATGGTATTTAGAGCATGTTATAGCATGAAAGACCAATTAAATCATGTGGGACTTTTGGGTTTTAAGGCCTCAAAAGTGTGTAGTTTAATCTCAACACAATTAACTTATCCTGTTTGGATTGTTATTTTAAGAGTTTTTATAAAAAAAAATATTGTACCGATTTAATGTATGTGAGATAAGAAAAAGTTATTGAAAAATATATTAAAAAATGTAAAATTCTTTTTTTTTTTTTTAGAAAACTACAATCCAAACAAGGTCAACTTTTAACAAAAGAGAAACCATGATAAATAAAGAAGAAATAACTGTTCTGAGTGTTAAATCAAACACGACAATGAGAGGATATGTGCAGGAGTACTAGCGCTCAAGTAACTTACACACACTGACTTGATTGTATCATCAACATATTTTTCAATCACATTTTTATCTCACATACATCATATCAAAAAAATGTTACAGTATTTTTTTACAAAATTATCTCAAATAATTACTATCTAAACACTTTAGACGCAATTCTCCATTTGCCTAATTGAATTAGTAGTGTTTTGGTCATGTTAATTTGCTTTTATGCACCAAATTTGGCAAAGATTTCTCAATGCATTGCTGTACGTTTTACTTAATTAGTTGTTATTGCTGTATTCTGATGTTTTGGTCTGTTGTCATAAAACTTGATTCGGATGTGGATTTGATTTTGGAGCAAGATAAATTACTTTAATCCTTTTGGTCCTTCGTTGCAAAGCAATATAATTACTCATGCTTATCCTTGTCATTGCATTGCGCCTTGAGATTTTGATTCAATGATTAAAGTTTAAGGCCGTAGACATAAAAGATCCTGAGTTAGAGCGTCACTGGATGTGAATATCTAATTTCTTCTTCCATTACTTGTATGTTTATTTATGCTATTATTTAGTTACGTATTACTCCAATGGTTATATGTTACTTTTAATCTTGTTATAAAAAAATGCACAAACTACCAAGCCTCTTTTCTAAAGACCAAGGAAGGAAGAAATGCTTCTATTGCTTTTGCTTTCATGTCCATAGAGCTTTTGCTTTCATGTCTCTAATTTGCTATTTTGCTTTCATAATGGTTTGCTTTCATCTCATGTCCATGGTGCTTTTGCCCTTTTTTTTAATTTATTTTTTATTTTTAGGACATAGCGCTTTTGCTTTCATGCACCGTGTCGTGGGACCGAACGAAATAATGCACCGTGTTGTGGGGGCCGAACGAGCTGGCCAGCTCCTTGAAAATTCGAATGAGCTTGTCCGTGGAGAAATCCAATAGCATACAAAGTTTACAGACTTCCAATGTCCAGATGTGAAAGCCTTCTAACATTTGCCAATATCTGATTCAGATAAATTGCTCCCCTTGCTGTGTAAAAATAGAACCATCATCTTTTGCTAGTGAATTCCATCCATTATAGAAAATATACATCAATCTCATCCAAAATGGAAGAAGCAATCCTATCCTCTGCAGTAAAGAGTATAGGTAAATTGCTTATTGACGAAGGAAACTTTCTACAAGGCGTTAGCGGGCAAGTCAGGCTGCTTCATGACGATCTCAAACGGATACAAAGGTTCTTAAGATATGCTGACACGAAACAGACTGCAAGGGACGCTGTACAACAGTGGCTTCCGGAGTTTAGAGCCGTCGCTTATGAAGCAAGTGATCTGGTTGAAGATTATGCTTTGAGGGTTCAAATCCGAAGGAACGGAGGCTTTAAAGTACTCTAAAGAGGATTGCTTGTATACCCGCAGAAGGTTATACCCGTCATGATTTGGGTTTAGAGATTCAAAGTCTCAGAACTAGGATCTCTAATCTCACCAAAATTTTGGCGAGTATGGAAATGTAATGGCCAGATTGGAGGAAGGAGAGTCGAGTGCTCCATCCAGGCTGCAGCAATTAAGGCGGACTCACTCCTTTGTGGCTGAGGAGGATGCGGTTGGACTGCATTACGATATTGAGATGCTGGTTAAATATTTGCTGAATGAGGTTGAAAGGGAGCACAAAATAAGTGTGGCTTCGATTTTTGGCATGGGAGGTATAGGCAAAACCACTCTTGCTAGAAAGGTATATCACCATGGAAGGTTGAAGCATTATTTTAAAGGTTTTGCTTGGGTTTGTGTGTCACAACAATGGCAACCAAAAGATCTCTTGCAAGGCATTCTACTCAAGCTTATTCCTGAACAAAGAAATCTGATTATGACGAGCAAACAAGATGAGCTAGCGAGGCTGCTTCAACAGCACTTGCGAGCTAGGAGATGTTTGATAGTCCTTGACGACATATGGTCAACAGATGCTTGGGATTGCCTAAAAGATGCAATCCCAGTTTCGGAGCATGGGACCAAAATTTTGCTCATGACAGGTGCCGAACCTGTGCAATAATAATAAATGAATCCTAACTACCACCTGAAACAGTCAGTAATCAATTCGAGTACTGGAGCAGGGACTCTAGGTGTGCAATGGGTTACTTGATTCACCCTGTTCCGAAGAGTTTGCTTAATCCGATATACCTGAATTAATTATTTAACTGAATTCCCTAACTAGTAGACAGTGATAAGCAGGGTCGTCTCCTCAGGGACTGGAGAGATATTGTTTCTTTCAAATCAAGATCAATGGGGGGGGTTTTGGTATCAAAAGCCAACTGAACAAATTAAATGCAGAAACTAATTAATTAAAAACAATAATTGGAGAAGCTCTAGCCAAGGGTACACTTAGAAATGGTTCACGCAACTGATCATCGATTCACAAATAATCCAACTTTTATTAATAGATTGGTTATAGCTGTCTCGCACGCGCTAAACAACCAACCCTTCCTTAATTTCTCGATAGCCAAGGTACGACCGTTAGCTATTTCTCTAACCCAAAAATAACCCTAGGTACGACCGTAAGATTTTAATTTCTAGATTGCAGTAATAATTAGAAAGGCCCAATCCTAACCAATAAACACGCTACGAGGGTTTATTTAAGCTAGATCGTATGTTCCCTGACATAAACCCAATTACGCCAGTTGCTACAAAGACAGAGATAACGAACAATTACGGATTCAGTTACCTCTATTTAGCAAAATAGCCTATATGAATAATTAAATATTGCGCATCTATTCAATCACTCACACGAGCTATAGCGGTTAAAAGCAGGAAACATATGAATACCAATAAATGCAGGAAACAATTAAAAGCGGTTTAGATCTCACAGTAGTGGTGAACCCATTCGTCAGTTGTCCCCTTGACTAGATGGAGGATTTAGCCACGCCGCATAATTAAATCCCACACGAATTAATAGATTGCAAAAGCATTGCGTTTTCTATTAAGAAGCAGGAAAAAAAGGTGCTTTTCCCGTTGGGGAATATTGTCGAACACCTGGCGTGTGTCAGAGGCCAGTCCGAAGAAAAGAAAAAGAGAGACTAAAGACTAGGCTAAAACTAAACTAAAACTAGGAATCCCCTTTTGCTTCCTGTACGTTCCCCCTTTAAGAGACAAAAGAAAGATAGACTAAAGCTATCTAGGTGGTCCCACACATGTGGACAAAACCTCCTCAAGTACTTCCTCTTCCAAGTCCACTTCCGTAGCTTTCTTTGGAGAGTCCACATGACTTATGGCTTTACGGTCCCCACCAATCCAAAGGCCCAAGGATTGAAGTCCTTAGAAGTCTCCATATTCTTCATAAAGTCCCTCTTTTTTTTGGTAGTTTGCTGCTTCCTCCTGAAATTAAGTCCATATACCAAATATGAGCAGATAACAGCAATTAACACAATATTTATCAGGGATAAAAGGGGAAATTAATAATAAAATGACTAACAAATTACACCCTATCAATTCCCCACACCTGAATCATGCTTGCCCTCAAGCATAATTAACTCAGAAGTACAATCGAGATGCTAAGCAAATCACAGCAGTTCATACCAAGAATGGCATTTCAAGCTCCCCAATAACCTTATCAAATCAAAATATACCAAATCAACAATTCTCGCTATTTAGAGTGCACTCATTCGCTCCAAAGTGTATATGAAATGTATATAAGATGGCTCTCAAAACAACACAGTAGAATGACACCACCATACGCTTGCTCATATATCATATCTCCACCACTTACTCATGAATTTAAATGCAGCAATCAAGGGACTTGCAAGGTTGTAGTGGGGCTAGGGTGAAAAGGTAGGATTGAAAGGGGTCAAAAAGGTGCATAATGTAAAGAAAGTGCCAAAAATTCATTACATAGATTCTTGCACCTTTGAAATTTAAAGGCATCTCAACCATCACACAAGTGAAGTGAATTAGCACTTGCCACAACCTTCGCCTTTTCTCCTTTTGCATTCATCTACTTCCTCTTTTCTTTTTTTTTTTTTTTTTTTTTTTTTTTTTTTTTTTTTTTTTTCTTTTTCTTTTCAATACTCCAACCAGCACCCTAAAGGTCAACTTTACTTGCTGGTTTCCTGCACTCTTTTTTTTTCTCTTTTCACATCCCCTTTTTTCTGTTTTCTTTTTTTTTTCTTGTTTTCACAGATAGGTACGATGCCCCTCTAGAAATATCCAAAATTCTGTATAATGAAATCAAAGCACTTCTTCACACAAGGTTCGAAAAGAAAGTCTAAAGAGAGGTTTTTCGGCTAGGAGCTGGGGTTTCAAGCAAAGAATAGGATGTAAAGCTCAACTTGGCTCCCTAATGGTAATATAATCCAAGGGTGAGTTTGAGAAAGTCCAAAACGGCTCATTCCTAGGTGCCCTATCATTTCAATGCATTAAATTCATTTAAATGTGATTTCGACATGCACAACGAGCAAGTTCTAGAATGACAAACCCTGTGCACTAACCACTCAAAGAAACGAAAAATTAGGCTCAAAAATCGCACGAGTGGTCAAATTTATGTCAAGTTCAGCATATTCATCAATCAATTCGTTATCGAGGAAAATATAACACCCCATGGCATGAACTTGCTACGTACACTCATATCTTAATTGCAATCATCACAGTTTAAAGAACGGACAACTATTAAGGCAAGGAAAAACTCAAGCAGACAATCTAAAAAAAAAACACCTCTAAAGCATAGTTAACCCTCCCCACACCTAAACCTGACATTGCCCTCAATGTAAGCAAAGTAAGACCAAATTAGAGGTATTGGGGCAACAACACTTCCTTAAAACGGAGGAGGGCAGAAATGAATCACGGCTGCGGAGAAAGGCGGGCGGAAGCCCACGTGATGGAGATACTGCGCTATATTCTGGGCCACCCCGCCCATTTGCCGCTCCATCCGATCCATACGAGTGTCCATGTGCTGCATCTGGAACCGGAGGGCTGCAAGCTGGCTATCGACGGAGGAAGATGGTGGAGGTGCCGAAGAAGATGGCCCGGGGCATCCGTGGACGGACCACCAGCCTCAGTCGCAGAGGATTTGGAAGCTTTGCGCCTCGGAGGAACGGAGATTGGCCCCGGCGGAGCAAACTGGAAAGCGCCATTCACCTGTCGCACAAGACCCATTTTCTCCAAACAAACCAAATCAAGGGGCTCCATAATACAAGCACGATGCAAGTTATGATTATTCAAGTCCAAAACCCCAAGGTTTACAGCTAACTGAGTAATAAAGGAGCCTAAGATTAATGGCTTATTTTTCTTACTTAACACAGTTCGTGGAGGGCGAACCAGCTACCCAAATTGACCCTAGTCCGAGTGACCATGCACCAAACGAAAAAGAACTCGGCTTGGTCAGAGTACCGGAGCTATCCTTCCTACCTGAGAAACTATAAGCCATAAATCTATGCAAATAACGATAGGCGGCGCTCTTAAGATAAGAGGCCTTAGACTGACTGGGGTCATAGCATTGCTGGTCAACTGACAAACCACTCCAATAATCAAGGTAATGAGAGAAAAATGGCTCTATATATTCGCAACGCACTGTGCATATACTCCTCACTGGTGGAGTAAGGAATATCAATAAACCCAAGAGCCAAATTAAACTCAGTGATAGATTGGTTGAACTCTCTACCCATTAAGCGAAACCTTACTACCCCAGGAGTGGTAACGGAGAATCCATCAGGGATATTCAATTCGAAGGTAGCATAGAATTCCCACGTGAGTTCAGTAAAAGCAGGTTGATTTATAGAAGCATAGCGGGCCCAACCTACATTAGTCAAGTGCTGTGCTACCTCATCCCTCAGGTTTAGCAAATCCAGTGTAGGGCCATGGAGGTATTTACAAGGAATTATCTTCCTTGTGCAAGCCGAAGCGTACCGCTCCTTGTCGGCAGCCCGGGTGAAGGTTAAATGACCCCAAAATGGGCCGGAGAGGAGATATGAATCTCCCTATTCCGTCCAAGGCGGGTACGAAGCCCTCCAGGCCCAGTCGATGGGGCAGGTCCCTCTAAGGGAACCGTAGGCTGAGGGGTTGAAGTGGAAGGCTTGTTCTTGCCTTTGGTTTTTGGTTTAGTCATTGGGGATTGGAAAGAGAGCAAAGTCAAGGTGAAGATGGGTAAAATGGAGCGGTGGTTAATCAACAAAGCAAAGGGTCCCCAAACACAGCTCTAACACCAACAATTGCACAAATAGAAACTAACCAACCCAAGAATCAATTAAGTTGATAAATAATAAGATCTTCACCCAAAAACCAATTAAACATGGAAACCACGAAAACTTCCCCTAATGTTACCAAATAGCCCCAAAATTACTTAATTAAACACACGCAGCAAATTCCCCCAAAACTATTTAAACAGGCAACCAGGGTAAGAATGGCCCTCAACTATCACCGAGTGAGCACAAAATTGAACAACAATTCAACATTCAGCTACAAACATATCACAGCACCCAAACGGCAAGAAATTAACAATCTGGCATCAGCTAACAAATTAAAAGAAATCTGGCCTCAGCTAAGAAATTAAAATCTGGCCTCAGCTAACAAATTAAAAGAAATCTGGCCTCAGCTAACAAGTGACAGAAAGAAAAAAAAATAAAGAAAGGCATCACCCGCGGGACAACTGGCAGTTGTTATAGTGGTACTGAAGCAGAGGTGGTCCGGATCTGCGCAGAGAGGGAGAGGGACGTCGCGCGCTGGCTGAGTTGCGCAGACGGCGAGGCTGGCGGCGGACTGTCGTCGCGCGAGGCGATGGGCGAGATCGCGCGAGCTGGGCTGAGTCGCGGTGGCGGCGCGCTGGCGGCGGACGCGCGAGCTGTTACAGGCGCGCGAGATGCGCGCTGGAGTTTCGCGGCGGGCTGGTGCTGGATCTCGCGCTGGGGCGGCGCGCAGGGGCACGCGCAGGGCTGTGGGCAGACACGCGCGGTCTGCTGTGCGACTGGTGCTGAGGCTGCGCGTGCGGTGGTGCTCCTGGCCGCCGGCTGCTGTGTCGCGCAGATGGCGAGGCTGGGCTGGGCGGCGCGCAGGGCTGCGTCGCGCGCA